GCCCTTTACATTTCTGCTTCACTTTTGCATCTAGGTTTAGATCCTTTCTCTCATTTCTAGTCAATTGCAGAACTTGGAGCCTTCACGGGCTTGACTTACACTCAGACCATCCAGATTAGAGAACCCATGACTGAGATTCTAGAGGTTTGGGGCCCATATGGGGCTTCTAATGGTTACTGTTAGTACTCAGTCACGCAGGCCAAACTATCAGCCCCAACTCCTCCTTGGGTACCTCTTATACCTTTGACCTCTGTGAACAAGACCAAGAAGCCCATGGATCCTTTTATTTCAGCTATACTTCATCCGGCACCAAAAGCTAATTCCATAGACGCACTGGCCTGCACACCCACATTCATGTGGGGCAGCCTTTTATCTCCAGACATGAGGAATCCATTTTTGTACTCACTCCAACACACAGCATTGACACTGCACCACAGAGCCATCATATTCCATAAGACACTTCCTGTGAAGAGAAAGCAAAAGAGAAAATCTCTATCTGCTAACTACGATGTACCTAATAAAAGGAGGAAGCACAGACTTTCCCGAAGATGATCCTCTGGGACAGTCTTCTTTGGTGTGTCCTGTAGGGATGTAAGCGACTAGTCAACTATCCAATAAGCAAAAGCGTATCAGATAGTCGACTAGACCTTCAACTAGTCACTTCCCCCCTCTTTGCTGCCTCTATCGGTTCTCCCCAGCACTGTCTCTGTGGGGGGGAAAGGGAGGCAGGGGGTAAGCAGGGACTGGGCATGAGCCGGGAGCTCACACCCAGTCCCAGATGCTGAACCTCTGCTTTTAAAATACATTAAGAACCCGCCTGCTCTTAATGCATTTTAAGAGGCTGGTGTGCAGCGGGTTTAGCTCCCGAGGTGGGAGCTAATCCTGCTGCGACTTCTCTGCTTGTTGACTAATCAATACAAAATCCATTGACTAGTCGATTAGTTGATTAAACTAAATTTAACATCCCAAGTGACCAGACAGGGCAAAGGGTTCAATACTGCTAGAAGGTGCATATGTGCTTAAGGCACCTAGGAGCACCCATCTCACAAATAAAAGTGTACAGAGGTCCTGTGATGAACAGCACTTACTGGTGGTACTGCATAATGGGTTGGTAGCATCCTGTCTGCAGCATCCTCTGCCAATAGTCCCTCTGGCACTGTGGCGGTCTCCTTTCTAGCAGAATGTCACTCGGTCCTCCAGACATTGCCAATGGAGTCATCCTCCTTCCAAGGGGTTAACAGACTCGCATAAAATATGTATCTAATGTTCCCCACAAAAGAAAAAGTCTTCAGCTTACATCCAAAACTCTGGGCTGCATGCCCTTGCCTCGGGGTTTACAACAGGGCTGGGGCAAGAGTCTGCCAGCAGGCTCGATCTGGCCCACCAAACTACCAGATCTTGCCCATGGCCGCCTTGCCAGAGCCTTTAGCCAGAGAACAGCTCACACTTTGAAAAGCCAGCTGTTCTACATTCCAGATGGCTGAGGAGGGAGACTTCTCATGCTGTTCCTGCCCCCCAGCAAAATCTCTTAGCTTCCATTGGCCAATCTCTCTATTTCCGGCCAATAGGAGCTGAGAATTTTTGCTGGGAGCAGGGGTAGTGTAGGAAGCCTTCTCTCTTCCATTTCGAACCCCTATCTCTTCCCATCCACTTCCCCCTCCCTCTCATGCCTGGAGTGGAGCCACGTGAAATGGCCTGCAGCAGACAGTCTGCCTCAGGTTTCTGCTGGCAAGGACCTCTCAGAGAGAGCCTGCCTCCCTTCCCCAACCTTCTGCCCCCCTTCACATACCCAAACCCTCTGTCCCCTTCTGCACCCATACCCCCTCCCAGATCCAGCACCCCAATCTCTGGCCCCAGATCACAATCCCCTCCTACTCTAGGTCACATCCTAAAATTCTGCAACCCAGTCCCCTGCCCTAGGTCACAACCGCCTGTTTCATCCCAACTCCCTCCCAGACCCCATTCTCCCTCCTGTACCCCAATCCCTTAACCCAAGCTCCCTTCTGCACCCAACCTCCATCCCAGACCCCAGAATTTCTTCATGAATATTCCAACCTCCATCCCAGACCCCAGAATTCCTTCATGAATATCCTGGAAGAGTGCAGCTCTCAACCACTTTCCAAAATCTTGATGTGGCCCCTCCATCAAAAAATAATTGCCCACCCAGATTTACAATGTCTCTAACCTCCTGGGAAAAGGGGTGTACCCTTTGCAGGTCAGGGAGCTTGGAAGGGAGCTTGGGCCCTCCCTCTCCACTGGGCTCTAGCCCAAGACCCTAGGAGCAATATCCAACACCGAGGAGTGCTTCAGGACTGTCTCTTTGGGCCACTCTCTACTACTGATCCTCCCAATCATGAGTGCAGTCAAAAGCCATTCTCTCCTTTCCCCAGTCCTATTGAAAGACTAATCCCACTGGTAGGGGCTGTGGCAGCTTTGCTTGCTGTCCCTTTCCACTGTGGGACTCCAGCTGTGCCCTTACTTAGAAGTACTTTTTTTAAAGTACTTCCTCTAGTTGCAGCAAGCTCTGCATATGTGGTGGAGAGGAGCCACTTGGGCTCAGAGCTTCTCCTTAGCTCCCTCCATCCCAATGTGGGGTACACATACAGTGTTCCCTATAAGCTGTGCACTTGTGCAACCATTACGGAGAGATTCAAATGCTGCCCAGCTGATTTGCAGAGTGCCAACAGCTAAGTCTTCTTTCTATTAATGGCGCACATTCACACATGCCTTGGTGCGCATAACAAAACTTATTCTGCACATGGAAAAGAGTCAAGGGAACATTGTTTATATACCCCATGATAGACCCTCAAACAGCAGCACTGTAGCAGCCCCAAGAATTTATTGCAGCAGCCCTTTGAAGAGTGACTTAGGGAATGCAATGCCTATTTTGGACAAGCTGTTCATTTGCAATAAGCTTTCAGAATAATGTTATTTTAAAGTGAGCTGAATCTCTCAACCTCACACTTTCTGTAATCTTTCCCCCCACCACCACAAGAACAGCTGAAATATGCCACATACACAGAGGAATAGGAACCTTTCCTGTGGTAACACAATCCTAATTCAAAATAAAAAAACCCTATATTTTAGACCTCTTCAAGAGATTATGTGGTTCATAGCCCCTACTCAGAAACAGTTTAAAGAGACAGAAAAAAATTAAATAATATGGTGACAGTGAAAATGATCAGTGCAGCAACCAACAGCTTCCAAGATAAATTTTGAACACTGGGCACAGTGAAGAAAAGCAAGAATGATATTGAATTCAAAGCACACACAAGTGTACAAATATTCTCCCAAAACTTTATTTATAGAAACATATTCAAATGCAGCATTTGAAAACAAGAGAGAGAGAAAAAGATGCTAATCAAGTTAGAGAGTCTCATGTTCAGTTACATTTCCTTTGATTACTAGCACCATTAAGTCACAAACCACAAACTAAATCAGAATTATTTCTAGACATGTAAAAAATTCTGCTATTATAAAATGTAATAATCTAGTAATGAAAATCTTTTCAAACATTTGTATTAAAAATTGGATCTGAATTAACTATGCAAAAGAGATGAAAGTAGTTTAAAAATGGAATTTTCTTAGCTACTATGGTGGCTCAAGGTAAATCATCCATAAAAGCTAGTTTGTTCTTAAGTCTGTTTAAACCTGATCAAGGGAAAGTGTCTTAAAAAATCAGCTTGTCACAGGCCTTTCCAAACCAAGCAGGTAAGTAAAATGTAGTGCACTAAACATACACATAACACAGTATGTACAAGACTGGTCTGATAAAATAACATCTTCCTAGATTATAAAAATACTAATCGGGCTACAAAATTTCTGAGCATTTAGTCAAGCCATCTTTCTACCTCACACAGCCACTACATCAGACTAAAACACATCGGTTTGTACCACAGCCGATGAATACAATTATGAATAGGAAAGATTCCAAAATGTTACCATTAGATTATCTGATTTACTGTTCTTATTTCCCTGTAACATTAGTATTTACTGTTGTGTCACTGTTTCTGGTGACAGTCACCGAACCTTAAACATTTCTGGATTGTTTTCAAACTATTTATGAAAGTGCTGAAAGAGCAATCCAAGAACAGAAGTTTATATCCATTCATCCAATATACTTACCTGATAGATAAGTTTTCAGAAGACTGTGTACAAAAAAGCATGCACACATTTGTGTATGCACAAATACACACACATGTATTTCTGCCAACTTGTCCCCTAACATTTCCCTGCTGGAAAAGAGAAGGATGCTTCGATCACAGGATTTCTTTAGCAAGACTGTAATACAGATGCTTGGAATTCATAAATACTTTTGATTAAGTATGCTCCTTATGTATTAAAACTATGTTGATATTATGGTGTTTATCCAAATAGACCCTGGAATACAAAGGAACCAAACCTATACTCTCACACTTTTTCAAGCAATGTCCAGTTTACAGTAGCCCACTTAATTTATCAATTAATTACTGATAATTTAGCAAGTGTGTTCATATGCATACTAAGAAAACTAGCAAATTACTTTCTACTTCAGAACATCTAGAATGTCTTTTGATGAAAATAAAACTGCTAAAATCGGTTTCAAGAAATAATTTGTACTGACATGTACAAGAGAATTTGAAAACCCAAAAGGCGAACTCCATTCCCTCCACCAATACAAACACACACACCTTATGACAATACACACATTAACACAATCCTTTTAAAATGATCTTCTGTGACATGCATCATAATAATTAGTGCTATTAAAAACTGAAAACATGTCCCTTTTGACAAAATGAACAAACTTTTCTAGAGGACACATGGGCTTGCTGGAATGCCTGTTATGCTCCCGGCAAAATGAGGTCTGGAATGTGACATCAAACCCATTATACAGGATGCGGATAAAGTGTTCTCTGGGTTTTTTCCCATCCTGCCACAACTCAAAGACTAATCTGGCTGCAAATCTTGGAAACCTGGCTTCTGTAATGCCTAAAGCACTGAGAACAGGTGACAAGGTGACATCATGAGCTGAATAAAGGACAAATAATTCTTCTTTTTTGCCTTCTGCAATGCGCTGCATCCGGTTAACAGTCTGATTAAGGAGGGGATGAACAGCCAGTAATGCATACCAGAAATAAAGTTTCTTTTCCTGTCTGTCTCTCTCATCCTCTAATTGGTGTGTCTTAATTACCTTAAAGTGATCAATGTCAATGCAGCCATTTTTAGTACAAGGGAAACTGACATTGTGGCAAAAATGGCACAACATAGAATCTATTGGGTTAGAAGCTCTTAACTGCCTTGTGGGAATGCCTACTATGTTTGCCATGTCCACATAAGTTCTCTCCAAAAAGCTGTTTTTCACCCTTAAGCTATACTGGCGGCGTTGTTCCTCTTCTAGGTAATGGTTTCTCATTGGGCAATCACAGCTTCCTGAACAAAAGATTGTGCTCCACTGATGTTTTATGTTAATTTTCTTCCAATCAAAATCTGGCAGGAAGGTATACAGAAGTGCTAGTCCACTTTGCAGGGTTCGACTTTTTCCTGTTGTCTCCAAGTAGAGATGCTTTGCTGTCCAGTCACTTGGGAGCAGTTTATGTTTCTTTATATAAATTTCCCGTAAGAGCTGTCCATTATGTAAGTGCTGCACAACACCTAGGAGAAATTAAAAAAATCCTGTTACTGAAATTCAGCTACAGATTATCGAAAATGTTTAGAACTTTGACATGTTAAGAAAATGACAACTAGCAGTTTTCTAACATGTGCACAAATTAAGTTACATTTATTTTGATTTTACCCAAGAATCAAACTTGACGTAAGCTTGGCTATTATTCAGGAAGATTTCACGAAGTACACAAATACCATTATATGTATTGTGACAGGGTCAGGTCAGAGGGTTACAAAAAAATGCTAGAAGGAAAGTAGGGCCCTGTTACCTGGGTAAACTGGCAGGGGCTGGCATAGAATGAGCAGGAACTTTCCAGAAGTAGTCTGGACAATCAGGCCAGTTAGAATACTTGGAGCTAATTAGGAGCTTTCCAGAGCAAAGGGAGTCAGGCTAATTAGACCACCTGGGGCCAAACAAGAGCCAGTTTAGACTGGTTTACAAGGGCTCTTCTTCTATCAGTTAGTTGGCATGTGAGGTGGAGGGAAGGTGCCAAAGTGCTGAGAGCGAGAGGAGTTTGGGTGAGAGCTGGAGCTCCAAGGCAGGAGGAGTGTGTTGGGAGAGCAGGTACCAGAGGAAAGATACTGGGAAGGGATCATTTGGGGAAGTGGCCCAGGAGAGTAGCTGCCAGACGAGGAGCAGACCAACCCTATCTGTTGCTGCTGCCTTAGGTCTCTGGGCCAGAACCCAAGTAGTGGGTTGGCCCGAGTTCCCCCCCAATCCTACCCATACCACTACAGAGTCTGTCCATGTAAAGGGAAACCAGGACTATAGAAGGGTGTCACCCCCCCTTTAATATGGACTAGCCTGTGATAAGTATGGGACAGTAGGCGGTGAACCCTACCTAAAAAAAAAAGAGGCCGTGAGGTGGGACACAGTGAGCCTCTGACGCTAAATGCTATTCACCAGAAGCACAAGACCCATGGGCACCGCCAGAGCTTTGCCACAGTATAAATGTACATATTTCTAAATCTGAAATGTGGGTTAGCTTGGTATACTCTTCAGTGTAGCTATTTATAATAAAACAGTTCTTTCATAAATAGCATTGGACAGAGAAATTTAAAATAACTGAACAGGAAAACCAGTCTGATGATCTATAAAAAATGCTATGTGGTTTATATCACAACCCTAGAATGGTTTAGGGGAGTCTAATCCAGTGTGTGTAGAAAATCATGAACAGTGTGGAAAAATAGAATAAGGAAATGTTATTTATTCCTTCACTAACATAACACAAGAAGCTGACCCAATTCAATTTAAAGCCAGATTTAAAAGAAACAAATTTTTTTTTTCATAGTCAACCTGTGAAACTTTTTGCCAGGAGATGGTGGAAAAGCCCAAAGTATAAATTTTTGGGCTCCAAAAACGTGGTTCCAAAAACAACAAAATAAGTTGAAGGAGGATAGGGTCCATCAATGGCTACTAGCCAGACTGGGTAAGGATGGTGTCCCTAGCTTCTGTTTGCCGGAATCTGGGAATGGGCAACAGGGGATAGAGCATGATGATTGCCTCTTCTGTATATTCCTTCTGAAGCACCTGGCACAGCACCTGGCATTGGCCACTGTTGGAAGACAGGATACAGGGCTAGAAGGACTTTTGGTCTGACCCAGTAGTTCTTATATAGATCTGAAATGTATCTGCCCCTTGCTGTAACCCACTAGATCCCGTTCCCCTTCCAGAGCCCCAGGGTCCTGATGGGTCTCTCTCTTTCCATAAAAAAAACTTTAAAAACAACAAATGGTCTGGTAGCACTTTAAAAACTAACAAAACATCATGAGCTTTTGTGGGCTGTGCCCACAAAAGCTCATGATGCCATCTACATGTTCTGTTAGTCTATAAAGTGCTACCAGACTATTTTTTTGTTTTAAATACAGTAAAAGGATTCCAGAGCACAGAGGTGTGGCCTAGTAGTGTGTTTTTAAAAGGCAAATTAAATACATATACTGAAGTAAGAAATTTAACAGCAGCAAAAACTCACAACCACATTTCAACATCTAGGTAGGTATGACAAGGTACAACAAGGTATGACAACTATGTTATGACATCTAGGTTTATAAATGGGGAATTTTGTATTATAAATGATTTGTTCATTTTGGAGGCACCTATTTGGACAGAAAATAAAAATAAATGTACAAAAATCAGATTGGAGCTTATATACAAGAGTGCTGTACACTGACCAGAATAGATGATTCATAAAAATTAGTGAACTTGAGTGCCTGAGTCCAACATATTCTCATATAACAATGTGAACTATACACTTCACTCTATTGTAATAAAATATTGAGGACAATGTATTTGGGTGACCTATGCTGTAACACTATTTTACAAATAATATGGGACAACATGTAATGAGGAGTGAAGCAATGATAGAAACAATCCCAACTTGCTACCAATGAAAGCTACATACCACATCGCAAGGCCATCCTCTGTCTCACACATGTTATATTTGAGAGGCGAGAATATTTTAGAATCATTAAACCATCTACTGGAATTTCTTTTTAATTACGTCATCTGAAAAGCTTGGCTCCCTTCATATCAACTTAATTCAACTGTGCAGAACTCAGAGAGAGAGAAAAATAAACTCATATATTAAAAGCCTCTCATACCATCTAAAACAGCTTTTCCATTTCCATACATACAAGTCTCACAATTTGACATCTGCTGTCACAGGATCTCCCATCTCTACAGGGACTGGAAACAAACTTTGCTGGTGGAATAATTTTTTTAATATGGTTCTACCTAATACATACTAAATTCATGTCTAAATAGGACCCTAGAGCCCTGGAACCAGACTACGTTGTGTCGGAGACTAAGAAGAAGGTAAATAAACCTATTACAGGAACTTACCTGTCTGTGTGAGTTCTCCCATTTCACACAAAGAATGACTGGGATAACGAGGCAGGCTGCTGAGGGTACCATCCATTTGGGCTTCAGAGCCTTGAGACATATGCCTAACAAAAGCTTCAAGCTGAGGATGAGATGGCTTCCTGAAGAGGTAAATGAAAAGATGAACACTCCCATAAGTGCATGCAAAAATAGCTCAGAAAAATGAAGCATTTTAATTATGTCAACTCATAATTTTATGATACGGGGGTATTTCCTATTGAGAAACCATCTGCTATTGCTCAGGGTTTACCTTTAAAAAAATCCAGCCACTTAGCTGAACACTTATATTAACGAATTGATGAGAACAAAATAATGTGCGTGAATGTCCAATGATAATATAAAGAAATGAATACAAGTTACCTTTTCCATATGATGTGGGGTGGCATTCTTCAGTTTAGTAACTTTTGTGGTTACTTGCACCAATATCATTATAAAAATATTGAGAACAATTCTGTGTGCACAGGGATTTTTTTTCCTCCACAAAGACTATTGAATTTCAACAGCATGGTCAGTAGCCACATGGCCTTAGCTTGTGATTTTTGTCAGGTCTGATAATCTAAACAGGGCTGATCAGGTCAGTATTTAGATGGGAGATCTTCAGGAAAATCTTAGGTGCTATAGTGCAGGAAGGACTCTGTTGGCAATGCAGTAATCATACATACTTTTCTGAGAGTCCATGTTACATTTCTACCCAGGTTTTTAAAAGGCACTGTGCCATTGCTGGCACTGTCTCTAAATGAGAAATACAAGCAACCTCCTAACTTCTTGCCATTAAAAACACTTTTTGTAAGAGTCAAAGAATTAACCTACATGACCTGTTCAAATTCACAGATAGTTATATTCCACCCACCTGCAAATTCATCTTCAGCTTGTGTCATGATTATGAGGGTTAGCCAGCAGCCTGGGAATTAAGGAGTTAACTACACATAACCAGGTGGAGTGTCCAGTAGGAACATAGGTGGGACTTTCAAACTGGGACAAAGTAATTTGGGAGTTTTCCTTTCTCCTTTTGTCTCTCTGGGAGAGTTCTCTGCAGCTACAGAGAGGGACAAGCATGTCTCTCTCTCTCCAAGACACCATTCTTCATTTTCTGTAAGTAGGGTAAAGTTTAGGTAGTTTCCTTAGGCTTTATTGTTTTAAGGGTTGGGTATGGGATCTGATATCTGGCAAAGTTTAAGAGATGTTTGGTTTTCTTTTTAACTAAGTTCTAGCCCATGGTGTAACTCCTCCATGAGTATATTTTGTTACCTTTCCATCTGATCCTTATGCTTGCAACAGGAATATTGTTGTAATAATAAAAGTTTTCTCTTTTCTTTTTATTAACCTGGCAGTGGTTACTTGTGTGTCCTGATTTTTATAATAGGGGTGAGATTTCCCAAATGATCTTTCCCCTAATCTCGTTATTAATATTTGGGTGGTGTCAGCGGAAGTTTTATTCCCAAAATCGAGGTTTTTAAGATTTTTGGGGAAGTTTTATACCAAAGCCTGGTAGCTAAGACTTTGGGGTACACTTGCTGGCCCCCACTTCTGCATTTATCATACCAGAGTGGGGAAGGAGCCATGACAGCTTGTACCAAACAGTATAGTGTGAGTGTAGACCACCTTGCAAGACAGCTGTCCAAAACTGTCCTTATATATACACATTACATGACCTTAAAGTTATATTTATTTTAAAAAGGTTGTACCTCCCTCAACTGGGACTCTGTGGTCCAGACCACTGATGTTCCTGGACCACAGAGCCCATGTACAGGGAGGTTGGGCTATGAGACAGGAGTGGCAGAGGGTTGGCAATTCAGCCAGGAGTCCCATTTAGGGGGAGAGAGGAGAACAGCAGGGAGTTCCGGCACCTGCGGCTGGACAATAGCAAAGGACTGGCAACAACAGCCGCAAAGCTCCGGCTCTGGCCATGGAGCTCGGGAGCTGGCAGCGGCAGCAGCAAAGCTTCGGCCCCAGCAAAGTGGAGCTCGCGGGTAGAGGCGGCAATAGTTGCGGAGCTCCAGCCCTGGAAACACCTATGGAGCTCCAGCCTGGGCAACCATGGATGGGCAGGCAGCAGAGAGGCTGGGCTGGTGCCCTAGCATGGGCCATGTTGAGAAGGACCTCCCCTGGTCTGGCAAATCCCCTTGTTTGGGACGGGTCAGGTTCCAAGGATGCCCGATGAGGGCGGTAGAATCTGTAGTAGCACTCAAAAAGCATAGCTGATATTGGGACCCTCTGTGTCAGGCAAGATACAGAAACGTAAGAAGAAATGGATCCTAGCACTCCTGAGTTGACCATTATGGAGAAGGCCAAGGCAAAAAGAGCAGTGTCATAGGAAGATTGAGAGGTAATATTTACAAAATAGTCAGTATTTCACCCAGGCAGTCAAACAGCCAAGGAACATCAAATATTCCTATAATGTCTCTCTAATCTCTGTCTAACAGAAGAATACGTGAGAGAAAGTTAGTTCATATAAATTGTCAGTGATAGTAGCAATATCTAAATTCTATATTCACAATTTAATAGAGTCATGAAAACTCCCTTTTTATGATCAAATATCACTGCAAAGATACCCTGACTTACATGCATATACTATGTATTTCATTACTAATACAATCTTGCACTTCCAAGCTTTTCATAGTGCTTTACTAACTTTATTGAAACAGTCATCAATTTCCCATTGAGACTGCTATTTTCATTTTACAGGTAGAAAAACCAAGCCACACAAAGCTTATGTGAGTTGCCCCTAGACATGCAGTCATAACATGGACAAGGATCAATATTTAAACATTATGCCAACCAATAATATTTTAGTACATAATATTAGCAGGTTTAAAAAACAAACAAAATGAAGCATTTCTTCATGCAATACACTGTCAACGTGTGGAACCGCTTGCCAGAGGATGTTGTGAAGACCAGGACTTCAACAGGATTCAGAAAATAACTCAATGAATTCATGGAAGTTAGGTCCATCAATGGCTATTAGCCAGGATGGGCAGGAATGGTGTTTCTAACCTCTGTCAGAAGCTGGGAATGGGTGACAGGGGCTGGATCACTTGTTCCACATGTTCTCTGGGGCACCTGGCATTGGCCACTGTCAGAAGACAGGGTAGCAGGCTAGATGGACTTTTGGTCTGACCCAGTTTGACCGTTCTTATATTTTTATCTCCTCAATACGTATGACTTTTCACCATCAATATAAGATATAGCTATCCATTTCTTAATATTGGTTAGAAACAATTCAACTGGCATGTTGTTTTAAAAATCTCACTGGGCTTTAAAACAGAACAGAACTTTACAAAGAAATTATTAAAGGGTTTCTAAGATCAAACCTAATAGGAACACGTCTGCAAACATTGTTTTTCTCTAAAAGTTTTCTGAACCACTAGAGGGTGCCACAACACCATTTAAAAAAGAGCATTCTGAAACATGAGAAATCTGACATCAGATATTCAAATCTTACTTATGTTTTTCCTAGATATGTGTTCCCAGGGAGCAGGTGTTTTTTGTTAATAAGAATAGATCTAGCATGAAGATACGCTAATTGCATTAGCTCTCAGATAAATCAGTTCCCAAAATTGGGTTCAAATGTCCCTTTCTTTTTTTGTCTGCAGGTTTAAAAGGCTTTTCAAAACCAGTATATTATATTTTGCTTTATAACGGAATTAGAAAAAAGTTGGTTGTACATTATTGTAACAATGTAAGTGGAAAATCTTTCAGCAGTGACAAATTGAGAGAAAAGAAGCTCGTAAGTGAAAAAAAGTTTTACAGTATTAATACATTTGAGAAGGAAAACAAATTAATTTATGAGACTTTAGGCAATTCCATGCAATTTCCAGATTTTGAATTTTTTTTTGGGTAGGTCAAATGAAGTACAATGTTAGGAAAACAGAGGCCATAAAATGTTTCCTTCATTTCTAGATCATTTTGGGTATCATGTCATTCCAAGTTTGGCTATGTACCACAGAGCTTTAATCCTTTTCTAAACTTGTACTCAACTTTTTGTAGGTTTATTTATTTGACATGTCCCAGAAATAAGAAAATAAAATTTAAAAAAATACATTTAAAGAAATTTATTTTATATTTAAACACACCGTGCCAACTGGTTTGTACAAAATCTGAAGACTAGAACATTATCATAGATATATTATTTTTTTCCAACAATAAAAAACCCTAAAAGCTTTGTGTTGTTTAAAAAATTTTACATGCATCAACTGCCACTTGTCATGTTCTATCAACAATGCTCCCTTTAATGAAATTTCTACCTCTTTTGTTAAGCTCTTCAAGCACACTACAGTAGTGAGATGAATTGCAAGAGCTGTTTTATTACTTGTTCTGCTGCTTCTACTATATCACCTGTAGTATTAGTAGATCAAAACCTTCTCTTGTGAAACTGTTAGGAATTATTTGAAGGAAGGAAAAGAAACCACAGTGCAAATAATATTTCTCAAAACATTGTTATAACTGGTACAACACAGAAGGGAGCCTTATCTATAAGACTAAGACAGAAAAACGAATGTATAATCTAATAGAAACCTTTACATATCAATGAATTACAATACACGAAAGAGATACATTAAGCTATTTAATTGTTAATTTTTTTAACATGTAAGCCATACACCCACAGAAATCAATACAAGGATTCCCTATTCTGAAAGTTAGATTTCAGAACTGAAAAGCGTTCTGTATCCTCTAATCCATTTTCAAAGAAGTGGAGAAGCAATCCAGATATAAATGAGATTTTTTGCCGAAATGGAACATTTCAAACTAAACCGTGTTTCTGCCTTCTATCCCTATTATAAAACTCCAGTATAAAAACTAACAAGAGTAATCCAGTGGTTTCACTGTGAAAAGTTTCTATATAAGAGCAAACAGAATTTTGCAAAGTGGTATTGAAAAGCAATCCTTACAGTAGTATTTAAACTGGTAGTTGACAAATTCCTTTTTCCCAAGGATTTTTTTATTTAGATTACCGATCTTACTATTGAATCAGCCAATTTACAGATGCCGCAGGAGATGGAGTATCTAGGCAACACTGCTAAGACGGCTGGGACTGCTTCTGAGCAGGAAGCAAAGAAAATTACATAGTTGTGTAGTTAAGCCCGGAGAGAAATTTGTAAAA